ATTCTTAACTATGAATATATTTGGATGAATGGAATATACGATGTGCATGTGCGTTGGAAAATATAAAGTATTTTTAATGTTAGATGTTCAAAATTATTTTTTAATTCTATTTGTAATTCACTTTCACTATTTTTATTAGAATTAAGAAAAATCTTAAACTTCATTACTGGTCTAAAAATTTAATAAATTTTTAATTTTATCCTTATTAAATATACATACTTTAAAATAAAATACTATGGCTGTCTTTGACATTTAATAAACTTCCCAATATTTAACAGGAACTTTGTAAATATAATAATAATCATTGAGGTGCTTTATAAATAATACTAAAACAAATACTTTTTCTCTGCTGTACAAATAAGACTAGAGGAGTATAATGCAATTTTATTTTTTTAATGAATAATTAACATTTTTTAAAAAAATACCCTTAATAAATAAATCACTTAACCTTAATCTTTAAGTAAGATACCTTGTTAAATAATGACAAATATAAAAAAAATAATATTAGTTCAAAGACAATTAACTATAACTTATTGTTGAAGGTATAATTTAATTGAAAAAGTCCCATATTGTTTAATTAATGGTGTATATCTAAATAATTTATTATCTGCAGAGCACATAACAACGCTGTCTAATTCATATAATCAGCGTCACTTTATTTTTTTTAATTTCATCGCTCGATTCAGTATTTTAGGAAACATAATAATATTATCACCAAACTCACTTAATAATAAGGCTTGTTATTACTATTATTGCCGCTGTCGTTGCTTGTGAATATCAATAGAGGAATTTTCTATTGGTAGTTTAATGTAATCATGTGGTCAAACTAAGTCTCTACCCTAGAGGCATTAATTTCCGTGGGGTGAGTGTGACAATTTTATATTAATCCCTAGTCCCTGCAATTGTAATTTTTTAATCAGCATTTTTAATTCAATCTGTTATAAGCATAAAGGTATAATAAAAGAGAATCGAATTTAAGTACTTTTATTCGGCCGAAACATATGTCGGTGCAGTGTATCACCGTATGATATGTATTACAATTTACCGGTGGGGCAGTGCACTGGACACTTTCCTTGCACGCAACGGTTATTTGTGAATTTAACCTCCGACCCAAAACACATATTTTCGCAATAATTAATCAATATACGTCAGTGTATGTACACACACATATATGGAAATATAAGTAGTGTATATATGTTTGGTTTTCAATTTACATTTGACAAAAGTCAATGTAGTTTTGAGGATTATCCAAATAGGCCAATAATGATCACTATAGCTTGTAATTTGTGAATAACTACATAGTTTCTCATGCGTTACACTGGTTGGAATTTAGGAATTTAAAACAAATATCATTAATACCATTGGTATCGATACATTTGAAATGGTATTTGTACACATCTTGTCTTTATTTCTCGAGTCTATAATAAAAAAATATGTCTAGAAAATACATGTTCTTGGAGTGTTTGGAGAATATTGGCAAAAACAAAACTTTTTTGGAATTCTCGATAACTCCTTGTCTTTTATTACATAAAAAATTAGACACTAATTTAATTTATGAATTATGACATAAATTGTATTTTCATAAATATAGATATAAGAAAGAATCCAAAGGGATCTGTAGCCATATTTTTTGGTTCCTATTATATTACTCAAGTTTTGCCTATTTAGAGTACTTAAGTAGTCGTCGCATTATCTTGTCAGTGCGAAATGTATGGTAAAATATTCATAGTTTGAAGGGCCAAGACTATGAGATAAGAATCAATAATCCAAATCAAACTTAAACTTCTTTTTTTTTCATGTTTATAGATAATGTTTATGAATAATAGTTGATGAGAGTTGATTGATATTGAGTACAGTGAATTAAGACAATACATGAAAAATAAGAAAAGAAATTAAATCTCATTGATAAGAAAAATTAAAAAGGCATGAAAAAGTACAATGAATGCATAAGAATAGTCAGATTGAGTTAATACTAACGATTAGAGAAATTTAAAAATGAAATTGCTCTTAAATTAATGCTCTTGTGAAAGTAAACTGAAAATACATAAAAAAAAAATTAAATCTCATTGATCAAAAAAATTGAAAAGGCATGAGAAAGTACAACGAAACAAAGAATGATAGCCAAATGAAATTAATGCTAACGATCAGGGAAAATTAAAAATGGTACTACTTTTGAATCAATACTCTTGTGAAAATAGATTAAAAATACATGAAAAAATTAAAAATAAACTAAATTTCATTAACGAATCAAGAGAATTTTTCATATTAATATTAGCATAAAATCAATTATCCAATGAGAGTCAATTTTTTTTTACCAATCAAATTGAAACTACAAGATTTATATATACATATTGATGATGATTGATTGCTGTGTTTAGATTAATATCAATAGAATAATGGAATGATTAATTGAGTTATAATTTCCCCCATATCAAAGTTCATGTAGTGGCAAGTGAATGTGGCACAAACAATAGCAGCTTTGTCCCCTTAAGCATCTTTGATTCTTAGAGATATATGGAAAGCATCACCTGAGACACCTACATTTACAATTATTTGAATCAATATTTTTTACAACTAATTTCTCATAAAATTTTATCAAGGACTTGGCCGTCATTAATTCTATTTTTAGGGCTTAATTATCATTATCTCCCTGATTAATTAATTCTCTTGCAACTTGTAAATTCATGTGAACTTTTTAATTTTGTTTCTCAAAGTATATATCTCCACAGCCTAAATAATAAATATTATATTCGCTCATTTTTTGAAAAAAAAAAATTATCAAGATTTAAACTATCATTTCTTCTTTTGAAACTTTACTGTCACCCTCCCATTAATCAACTGGCATGCAACTAAAGACAACATGTAACTAGCCTTGTGTATTTGATTTGAATTAGAAATCACACATCGAGCCATGTAATTAAAAATTGTATATTTAAAATTGTTAAGAAATGATCTAGTTTTAAGCAAAGCAGCGCAAACTGCTCCGACAGTGATAGGAAAAAAAACTACAATGACCTTGCAAGCGTTATACATTAATAAAGTGTTTATGTCTGCATTTACCAAAGCATGCCCAAAGTTCTACTGACACTGTTGTACTCTAGTTGACATACTTGACTCATCAGATGCTAGATGTATAATAATTTCCTGTTGCTAAAGAGCTTGAATTGAAATCTGAGTTCTTAGTATGTACTTGAGAAAACCTAACTTCATCCTTCTCCCTCCTCACAATTGTCATTCAACTAGTTGGGTATCATATACCATGTGATGTAAAACGGGAAAGATGAAGAGAGGCATGATTTTATTTATAAGTGTATATATATATATATATATATATTCCTTTATTAGATTACATATAAATTGAATTGAAAATTTTCAAAATTGGGCTGATAAGACATTCAATTGGAATCAATTAAATGAGAAAATCCATCCCGTTTTTTGTCTTAATTTCAAGTAGTAGAGATCGAGGGAGTACGTGATTGGTGAAAAAGTGATTAAAAATGGATGTTCAAATTTTGGATCCGAGTGAAAAGGACAAGAGTCTGATGGATTGAGAGCTTTATAAATGCAACTCCTCCGAGACAGAGCTGAACATGCGAAAGTAATGGTGACTCAGAACACTGATCTATTTTCCTTTAGAAGTCGAATAATTTGAGTAAAATAATATTTAACTACTCCTGGATACATGTCGGGCAAACAACATCTGCTGCAACAAGACATGGAAAAACATGCCAGAGAAACTCAGAAAGAGATGGCTCAGACTCAGACCTGATCACAACTCAGAAGCCTAGAATCAGATTAATGACTAACTTATTTATTTAATTAATTCTAGTTAAGAAGCAAACGCATGCATTTAATGAGCACCCAATTGTGCATTGAATGAACCACACGAAACAATGCCTCTGAATTAGTGTTCCCTTCGGTAACAATGCGGGCATGCATTCCGCACAGAAAAATACATGAATCTCTTATTGTTTAATCAATTATAATAATCACGCTGACTGTAATTAAAAAGTCAGTCGACAGCCCCCATGAGCTAAAAGTTTGTCATATACGGTGTCAGCCATTAATGAGATCAGTGGTTTCTTCCCGATAATCATGAGTTAAAGGTCCTATATTGACTGTAATAATTAAATTATCATTATCTTCAATTTAGCCTAGGGTTTTGACCCATCCTCATCCGATCCATGGTTATAAATTATAATGCTCAATATTTCTTTAATCATACGAAGGAGATAACCACGAAAGATTGTGACGACACCGTAGTGTCAAAACCCAAATTCAATGCTTGTTTAATACTGTCTGTTACAAATTATAAAACACTTTTGAATAAAATCTCATATGTTAATAAAAATCATTAAATAACTTTACAATATTACTTTTTTAAGAGAAAAATATAAACTTTTAAAAATATCCTTCATTTAATAGTCCATTGATAAAAGAATATTGAAGAAAAAAATATATGTGAAGGATAATATTGAAAAACTATCATTAATAAAATCTTATTTTTATTAAAGTATCTTATATTTTGGGGTGCTAAATGTTTTTTAAAAGTATTTTATAATTTTGGATTGAAGGAGTATAAGAAAATAGTTGATGGAGGGAACAATGTGGGGGTTATTATGTTGGAAGAAGATGCGGAGAAGAATAATGAGTCTTCATCAGTCTGACTTAGGTCAACGGTCTTGGTGCTTTTTAAATTATTTTAATATTCAGAACTAGTACAAATTAAGGAGCAGGACAAAAAATCCAAGAATAATAGACATTAAGTAGCTGGAGAATTTGAAATTTGAGACAAACCAAAAAGGAATTCATTCCCATTTAAGGAAGAAAATGAGGGTGAGAATAGTATTGGTTGATTTATTTCATTATTATTACTTAGATGAAAGGACACTGAGAGAGAGCGAAGAGAGTGGGGGAAAAGGAATGAGTGATACATGAGGAAGAGGCGTCTTTCAGTCTGTCTAATAATTTAGAACCCGTCGTCTGAAGCCCTCAAATTTTTTGTTACATTTTTGCCCATCACTTTGACCGCTCACAAGTCATCAGCATTTTCGTCTTCCTCTTTCTCTTCTGCTCTCCTTCTTGTTCACTTGTTTGTTCTAGCAACTGTCATTTTCCAACATATACTCTCGAGGAAAACAAAACGGACCACTCCTCTATCTCCTTTCCTTTCCATTCCTTTCTGTATTTTCTTCCTTCTTCCCCTTCAATCTCCCCCCCCTCTCTCTCTCGTTCACTTTTTTCAGGGACATGTCTGTCTGCGTTTAGAGAAAAAGGGACTGTTATTACTCCGTGTTCCTTCCCTTCCTCTCGCTCTCTTGATTCTGCATAGATATTTGGCTATATACCTAGCTTTCCAGATTCTTTTGCAGGGGAAAGACTGTGAAAAAGCAAAAGAGAGAAAAGAAAATCTGATTATCTGTTGCAGGGAACTTACTCCTCAACTAAAGGATTGGACTTTGATTTCTGGTATCCTCAACTCTTGATTTTAATAAGGTAGAGAACAACCACCTTCCCTCTCTCTCTCTCTCTCTCTCTCTGAGTAAGCGAGTCCCTTAAAAAAGATGCCCTTACAAGGGATTGCGATCGAGCCCAGTTCCACATCATGTTCTCCTCCTGATCTTTCCCTTCACATAAGCCCTCCGACCACCTCTTCTTCTTCTTCTTTGATTCGCCACAGTAAGGAACCCCACACTTCAAATTTGGCAACTCAGACTCGTGTCGAGCTCTCTCTGGCCACCAATTTCTGCGCAGACCAACCTCCTCCTTGTCATTATCATCACAATCACAACCCCACCATTGCAGCTTCTGCAACCATCACCACCGCTCACTTGAACCCCATGAATTCGTTCCTTGATGCGCCGTCATCGTCCCAGTCGGACGTCGGCCTGAGACCGATCAGGGGGATCCCGGTGTATCACAACCGTTGCTTCCCTTTCTTGCCCTCAGACCATTCCATCGGCAAGGATCTTCACCACCACCACCACCGCCAACATTATCAGAAGATGTGGTTGCATCATCCCTTGCCCTCTAACGGATCTTCTTGGGCATATTATAATAACTATAACAGTAATACGACCGAAGTATCGGGTTTGGATAACCCGATGTGGGTTTTAAACGGGTCGTCTCCTGGTAATTTCAAATCTCAACACCAGTTGCACTGTGAGGTTGGGGCTTCTCATGGTGAAGAGGCCGCATCTTCGGGGTTCATGAGATCCAGATTTATGCCTAAAGTACTACCCTCCAAGAGGAGCATGAGAGCTCCCAGAATGCGTTGGACTACCACCCTCCATGCCAGATTCGTTCACGCCGTTCAACTTCTTGGCGGCCATGAAAGTATCCACTTTTCTCCTTTCTTATTATATTTCTCAGTTCTCTTAGCCAGTATACTGTGTGTATAGGTTTTTTTTCCTTCTTATTGTTTTTTTTTTTGTTTTAATAGATAAAAAGTACTGATCAGCTAAGATATTGAGGTGGTGAATTTATACACAGGAGCTACTCCAAAGTCAGTACTGGAGCTGATGGATGTGAAAGATCTCACATTAGCTCATGTTAAAAGCCATTTACAGGTACAGCTTTCAACTTTGAAATTCCAATACCTCTCTCTCTCTCGTATATAGTTCGGGGCACAGTAGCCGATGAAGAAAGCAGTGAATGTATTGAATAACAGTAGAAGTAATAGAAGCTCCTTCAACTTCCGAGACTACCTTGCAGAAACACAGCTTCTCTGCTGTCACAGAGAGGAAGAGACGACAGACCAAAAAAAAAAAAACAAGTCATCATTTTCCAATAATACATCTTTCTCTCTCTCGTTGCAATCTTGTCACGCATCAACCTTCCTCGTGATTAACAAGTCATCTATTTTCTTTTGTCATTCCAATTAAAATAAGTCAATTGGTTTTACTCTCTTCCATTTGTGGAAATGCATTCGTAATATGGCTTGCTATGTGACTTGTTCTCAGATGTATCGCACAGTCAAGACCACTGACAAGCCTGCTGCTTCCTCAGGTAATTCTCATTGCTTAATCTGCAACAATTTTAAAATTTTTTTTATTAGCTCTTATCTTAAACACACCAATACATGTCATTCAAAACAAACAAGGAGAGGGGAAATGTCAATCACGCATTGTCTTTTCACAGTACTCTGTGTTATAATCTAACTTTTAATTATACCATAAGCATTTCTTTCTTTCCTTTGTCTCTCGCCTTTATAACCATTTTATAGCTTTAACAGAGATATCTCGCATACTCTACTTCAAAAGCATATTATACTTTATATTTACTATCCTGTGATATGAAGATATATATCGACATATTGTGTGTACGCGTGTTAATCAATCAACTTGGATATCTTTAGTGGTTTTGCTTTCTCTTGCAGGCCAATCAGATGGATCTGGTGAAGATGAGATGTCTCCCGTCGGTGGCAACGCCGATCGTGGTGGTCTTTGTCAGTTGTCCAATCAAAGAGGCCGAGCAGATCGATCTGTGCAACAGGACCCAGACCATCCTTCTTCCACTACGCTATGGAGTAATTCTTCAAGGTATGATTAACGCCGCTTAATTGTACATAATACTGTAATTAAAAAATTGGTTGCTTTATGTTGCTGCATGGAGGTACATATTTTTCTCTGATTATGGGAGATTGAGTATCTGCTGATATGATTTTGCTTTTGCTTTTGCATGGTATCTCTTTAGAAATCAATGCAACTCCACGTCCACTCCGTTTTTTAAGATTTTAATGTAGGACTAAAAAAGGGTTCTTGTCCCAGCTTTTGCTTTACTGGTGTTTGGGTTTCTTCTTTCTTTTGTTTCTTTTGCTTGCGCGCGCGCGCACACACACACACACAAATTTTGTGCCTTGAGGAATATCTTGCACATCAGCTTTGTAGCTTTGGAATGCAATTGGATGGGTTTCATAAAGGAAAGTTACACAAGACATAACTAAACGACATAAGAAAAGGAACCCTATATATTGCTGCATGCACTTTTCTCTTCTCTCCTTTGATGTGCGTGTGCGTGTGTTTTAAGTTGATGCTTATTTGACAGTACATTACGAACTTTTGTCAAAAAGTCAAAATGTTATAAATTGTAAGTAGTCCATAATCTTGTAAATACTTTCACAATGAGGTCTTGGACGTGCTTTCCTTCAAATGTTTTTATTAATTAATTATTTCATCCCATCCAGTCTTATTTACAAGGTACTTTAGACGGATGGTTTTGCCGTTCTTTTTATAAAGTACCATGCACGTTATTTATTATAATTTTTCACTTTATGTAATATTGGTATAGGAAGGTAGAGGCTTTTTCGATGATGTATTTAATATGGACAAAATAAAAAAAATAATTTTTAAGTAAAGTTAATAAGTTTATTAGATGAAATGAAATCTTTTTCAAAAAAACATATAGTGGTGAAATTGTTTTAATTTGTGAGAATAGTGGTTAATAAGAGTATCTTCTGACTTATAAAATTGAAAAAAAGAGCTTGGAAATAGATCGAGCAAGAAAAAAAATTACTTGCATTCTGAGCTATTACATGATCAATATGTTATATGCACACAAATAAGTCTTCTATACAATAATATCAGTATATAACAACGAAATGTTTATGCAAAGGTTATATAGCCTTTTAACACACTTGTTTGACTTCAACGTACTGCTTGATTAACTAGACATAGATTAGTGATCTCTTTGTTTCCTGGGATTGAGCTGAAGTTATTTTTCCTAATTAGTTATCTATACAATATAAGCTTTTGTATATCTTCAGGAAAACCAAAATGATGAGTGTCATTATATATTATTGTTCTCAACAAATGAATACTACTTAATATGTTGCAGTCAACTAGTAAGTCGACTTTGATGTAAAACTAGCTATACTGGTATAAGACCACGAACGTAATCCACTATTTTTCCGCCTCAATCCGTACACTTTTTTACGTTTTTCTCAAAGGAAATATACATAATATAGTTCTCAAGTACTGTTTATCGAATGATATATGTATCTCCCTGCAATTACAAGAATTATATTAATTACCTGAGATAATATATGGTAATTTAATTGATGGAACTATTTCGTTGTGGTGGAATCTTTTCAATTAATTAATGATCAGTAGCAGAGAGGCATGGCCACAGAACAATTGTTATAAGGATAGTCTCAGAAAAACTAGCTTCCACTCACAACCGATGTCAAGAGGGCATCAAACTCGTCATCAGGTACTTTATTATTATGATCATACATACCCGCCTGGTCATTGTTATTTAGTTTGGCATAATTTGCATGATATTAATTAATACTAATGAGATGCAAATAATTAAATATGCCTGCAGGAATGCAATTCAAGCGAAGCAAGAATCGTGAAGAAGAATTTGTCAGATGTTGACATGGAATGCAAGAACCCATGCTTGGAGTTTACATTAGGAAGACCAGATTGGAATGGCAAGGGACAAGCCTAGATAATTTATATTTATAATATTATATATACATATATATCCATGGCGACAAGTTCATCATCTTAATTGTTTCTTCAACTGGGGAGATCGAGGTGGTCTTAATTGCCAATGAGAAGAGAAAATTAAAATAATCCCTTCTACATGTATACTTGTACCTTTGGTTTCTTCTTCTGGAATCTATTTTGATTTCATCAGCAGTTTTGTTTAGATTCTTCCTTTTATTATTTTGAAAGGATTTATAGGAAGCAGCAGCGAGATTATAAATCACATGATGAAATGATTCAGGTGTTTTTTTTTTTTTTTTTGGGGGGATAATTAGGATCTACTTGAAAGATCAAAAAAGGATATGAATTAAAGTACGCAGATGATCTTATACCTCCCTCTTTTCCTGAAATGCATATACAAAATTATAGCTTATTATTCCCTACGCGTTGCCTTTATAATCATGGTCCTTAATATAAAATATTTGATGAGATATTAATTATGCTTTTCTAATATTACTTCAATTTAAATTTATTAATTATGAGAACAAATTTAATGCAAATTTAGAAATTTTCATTTAAATATGAGTAAAATTGAAAGTTTATTTATTTTTAGATAAAGTTAGTAATTTAGCTACTTTTTATTGGCTTTGGTGAGGAGAGATTTCATATAATAAAGATCGCATGAGTATATCTCAATGAATGTTGAAGTGAGAAAAATGCTAAGTATTAGGACTTGATAGAGAATTAGTTATAATTGACATTAACAATAAATTGGCCTAAATTTTCTCCTTTCTAATTGTCTTTTTGAATTACTATGAAATGGATGAAGTGAATCAATTCAAAATGTGCATTCTAATTTATCATCACTTCAATTTTCTTATCACTAAAAGAAAATGTTTGTTCAAGCTTAAAAATATGATTTTAATTTAGCCAAATACCATCTTTATTTTAAAGATTTTACGAGTAGGGTTAAACAACCATAGCTATTTAAAATAATTTTAACAAACACGACATGTAGAAGACATGTAAGGCATGCTATCAATGAATAAAGGATATAGAAAGGTAATTGAATTATTTTGACAAATATATGTATGTCAATAGTTAAAGGGAAAGCATAACTTTTAGTTCGTGCACTTTACTCATGTTTTATTATATATCTTTGTATTTTTTTTGGTATTTTAGGTATTTACATTTTCATTTTTGGTGTTTTATGTTCATTTAAAGTATTTATATTTTAATTATTTTAGTCATTTAGGAACTTAAAATACTGAAAAATGAAAGTGTAGAGATTCAGAACATCAAAAAAAAAATGCAAGAACCTATAATAAAGTGTAAGAATTAAAAGTTATATTTTTTCATAATTAAATTAATATATATATATATATATATATAATGATGCTAATCAAATAAGGATAAGACTTACGTATTTAGAACTTAGCCTTATATATTTAATATACTTATATCTAATTAAATTGTGACAAGTGAACTTTAATGCATTAATAATATCAATAACAAGAGTTTGTTATAGAATAAATAACCTATAAAATATTTGCATGTTTTAATTTAATGAAAAATGAGTATTTTAAATATATAAGGTTAAGTATATAAATTTTTCCTACTAAATAGCAATACTCTATTCCATATTTATTTGCTTTCTATTTTCTAATATGGTCTTGGTATATTTTTTGTATCTTTTTGTTAATTTAAATAATTATTGTTGATTTGAAGTTTCCTATTTAATATGGTTTCCAAATCTATGTAGATTCACTATATACGTCACGTTTATTGTGATTGTTGTAATAATTATGGGTGGCATTTTTCAATTTTATATTTGTTTAGTAACTTCCCGTTGTTATGGGGTGTGTGTGTGTGTACCAATCACGAATAATCACACAAAAAGAAAGAAATACAGGGAAGGCAATGGAATGAGTTTGTTTTCAATGCCTCAAGAATCGATTGCAAATTGGACACATTGCGTGTAATCTCAATTTATATTCCAATAATTCAGGGGCAGAAGAAAGAAAAAAAAAAAAAAAAACTCCCAATCTACCCGCACTTTAATTTAATTTTAAATCTTAAATTATTCACCCACAAACAATCCTCAATACCGTGCTCGTGTCAAATTATTGGGGCCCACATCTGGCCCAGAAGAAAATTTACATATCACATCATTATTCCCATCACAAACACACAAGTGCTAATCACTATTAATTAAATTAAATCAACGATAATGACTTCTCCGACGTAAATTGTATTTTCTTGAAGTCGCTGTGATTGAATTCTCCCCAACTTCTTCCTCTGGAAATATAAAATCTGGATCCTCAATACAATTCACTTCCTCTGGTAAATCACTATCAATCCATGTCGACCAATCCACTTCATCATCTTCTTCCTCCATCACCCAACACAGTTTATCGTTTTTTTCCATGTTGTTAACCTTGTCAAGTACAGTTTTCAGCAAGTGATAGCTCAACACTGCATAATCTCTGCATAATTGAGGAATAATTCAGTTAGTTAGATACAAAATCCATATGCATGTAGAAATAGTGAATTTTGGTATGTTAGTGTGAAATAACCTGTAAGTGAAAATGGCGTAAGAAGTTGAACAGAAGCAGCGATCATGACCGCTGATCTGACCATACCGATAATCCAAGCTTGTTGCTCTACGCTACAACTCGTGAAACGAGCAATGCCTATTTCCACTAAGAACACCGCACAAAGCCCTGCCACCAACAACAACAATCCCCACTCCCATCAATCCCAATTCCATATATATATATATATATATATATATTCCCAAACATTTCAACTCAAAAAACCAAAACCAAAAACCAAAAAAAAAAAAATCAAGCCTTCCTCTTACCAACATACAGCCTCGGCCTGGTATTGTACGTCTGCTTCGTGCTTGTCAACATATAGATCACAACGATCGACGCACAATAAATAAAGAAAGCCTTGATCATACGTGATTCCAGAAACATGGCATTCTGCAGAGCAAATATCTTATCCAAAGCAGCAAACACGCTAGCCTGTTTTAACTCGAAAGATTCCTGGGCAGAAAGTATTGATTTTGTGTTTTTCATTAAACGATCATGAATTCCCTCGATTTGTTGCTGTCGTAGAAGAAGCTCTTCGTGGTGTCTAAGTCCGAATTCAGCGAGTTGTTGGAAGGTTTTCCTGCAGAACAAAGAGTGAAAGTGAAAGGATGATGATGATGATGGAGATGGAGATGGCGATGGTGATGATGGTGTTACCGGGACTCGTCGAGGGCTTTGGATTGGAAGTCAGATAAAGAATTGAGGTCGTGGAGTGCTTTGGATTGACCTTCTAGAAGGTGTTGTTGCTTGTCCAAGGAAATGCCAGCCAAGTCAACAATGTCTTCTGCTTTGCTATGAAGGCTTTGCATCTCTTGTGACACTGTATCTCCAACTTTCATTATCTCCTTCTGAATCTCTATGGATTCATCCCTTAACTTGCCTATTTCATTCCCTAAATTATTGTACGACTCGTTCAGAACTTCAATCCCATCCTTCAACCTCATCTTCATCTCCTCTTGTACTTCTTGTAACTGTAATTGTGAATCTGCAATTTCCTTGTACTGCTCATTCATACTCTCTGAATGCTTCAACAAAACACCCGTACGATCTGCCACATTCACTACATTTTCAGCCATTTGTTGTGTACAGACATCAAATGATTCAAGAGAGTTATGAATTTTATTATAGCCTTGCAATATATTCTCAGATTTGTCGTAGAGGTTGTCTAGCTTGTCCTCTACATAATGGGCTGAGTCCTTGAGATCTGTGATGAGTCTCTCTGTTTCGTGTTTGAATGCATGAGCTCTGCAATTTCATTAACAAAAAAGAAAGACATTGGAGTGAGATGAACAAACATTTTTTTTTTAAAAAAAAAAGTATTAACGAATTTTAAGGGTTGGAAGTAGTTAATTGGTGTTAAAGCGATATTGAAACTAAAAATTATCGAACAGTGATGAGCTAATATTTTAAAAAATGAAATTAATCGAGTTTTTGTGATGTTTTGAGTGTTGATTTGATATCAAATGAATGTTTGATGCCAATAAAATATGTCATATAAGAATTGAAAAGAAATTAAACGAATGTTTGAAATTAATTACCCGATTGAAGGTCTCTTTCAAGATAAAAACGAAGAAATAATACTATTTGTTTAATCAAAAGGACAGCAATTGCGAAAAACAGAGGAAATTGGCAAGGCATTTATAAATTTTGAAGCACTTCGAAGATAATCTATTGCACTTTTTAAAAAATTGAAAATTATATGTTCATAAGCTTGACAAAATAAATTTTTTTTACAAGTCGAGAAGTTTTGTTTGATGCTAATGAAATATTTCATATTTGGATTGAAAAGTTGTCCAAATTAATTAATCAACCACTGGAATGCTTCTTCCAAAACACATACAAGCAAAAATATTATTTCTAAATCAAAACAAAACCGGCTTGTCAACAGACAACAAAGAAAATTTGTAGAAGCATATATAAATTTTGGAACACTTTGGATAATCTATTGAACTTTCAAAATTGAAAATTATGTTTTTTGAACTTGTATACCCTAAAAAACGTAAACATAATTTTTCTTGTCTTCAAAGTTTATAAACTGTGTTAGTAACTAAAAATGTAAAAATATTTGAATATTTAGCAAGACTATTAGCCGAAACAGAGATAAGATGATGAAATGAATCAAACCTTCGTTTTGAAAACCAGAACATTCAAACCAGAACTATAAATTTTAAACACTTCGAAGGTAAATCGGTTGCACTTTTAAAATTGAAAAATTATGTTTAATACTCTGAGAGAAAAACACGTAAAAATTTTTATTTTGTTCAACGATAGCAAAGGATGACAAGTTGATAAGTTTCGCTTTGATGCTAATAAAATTTTTCATATTTGGATTCAAAAGTTGTCCAAAGTAATCACTCACTAAAATGCTTCTTCCAAAACACAAGCAAGCAAATTAAAAAAAAAAAAAGTTTACTATTTGAGTATAAACAAACAGCAAAGAAAACTTGAAACACTTGTACAAAAAAAAACTATATATATATATATATATATATAAACACATATCGAGTCAGATTTTCAAAGAATAAACTAAAGAGATAAGATGGTCCAATGCTACGTAGCAGAAAACAGGGGAAGCTAAAACAGAGTGAAAGAAAATGCACTTACTGTAACTGATGGCAGATAGTGTTGGTTTCGAGATAGAACTCAAGATAGACCTTGTGGGCAAGATCATCCAGAGCTCTGAGGCAATTAGGCATTGAAGATTTAGCATCACAGTGTGGAAAATGTGGCCTTCCAGAGTCTCTCTGGAAGCAATCACTGAGATGCCAAGCAAGCCTTGAACGCTTTTCTTCATCTGCTAAAATCTCGGAACACCCCGCAAACACATTCTTATAAGCGTTTTGCCAGCACCAGTTTGATCTCACCATCTTCTCCTTCGCGTTCTCCACAAGCTTTGTTCCCTTTCTGTCATTAAATCCCTCCATTGAGAACTCTGCAATCGAATCTCTCACAGTGTGCGAACCAGAAGGACCGGAGGGTGTTTCTGATGATGATGATGAGAGCCAACTACCCCATGACTCGCATCTTACGATGAAACAGAGCACGAGAAAAATCACAAGATGACGACGATTATCAACCATGTCGGAACTTGACGTGCTTAGGTTTGACAGTTCTGCATCGAATTAACACCCCAGATTGATAGACGAGTTTCGAAAACGATTGGCATGGTTTTAGTGCTTGGGGTTCAAGAAAAGAAAGCGATAAAGCAACAGCAAAAAGAAAACAGAGTAAAAAACAGAGTGTGAATATCTTCAACAATGAAAGTTAGAATATGACATCCAGAAAGATAATGGCCGTCCCTTTGCATCATAAACGGTCAAATTTACTAATTTTTTTTAAAGAAATAAGATAAAATAACAAAACAAAACAAACAGAAACAATTTCTGATCTATTTGATTATCTGGAAAACGAAATTCATGAATGAAATCCCGCATCCAAATGTGCGTTTCTAGACTTGTTTGAGAAGGGATTAAAAAAAAAAGCATCCGATCACTTTGAATCTGTTCTATAAACTAATTCTGACTGAATCTTGACCCACTTTAACTCAAAAATATGAGAAAAAACTGAATAAAATAAAAATTTACATAATTCAGTCTCTTCAAATTTCAGTGTGGCATGGATTTAATCATTGATCCAGGAAACCAAATTCATGAATGTTTCATTCTAAGGTTATATATCCAAAAACAGAGTACTCCAGTGCCGATTTTTGTTTCGTCCAAGTCCAAATTTTTGAATGGAATCTATCTGATTCTTTACACACACACACACACAAAACAAAACAAAAAAACAGATTTACAATACGGAAGTCTTACGTTTTGTTTTTGGGGTGGGTGGAAATTTTGTTCCTTCTTTTTTTAAAGAAGAAACTATGAGACTTGGAGTTCAAGAAAAGAAAGGGGAAAAAAGTCAAAACAGTGTATAGTCTCGACCATGGAAAATAAGGACAAAAGTACTACATCATGAAAGAGATTGAAACATCTGGCTTTGAAAAAAGAATGAAAGAGATTGAAGCAATGAAACAAAACATCATCGTACCGTGAAGATTGTGGCGATTCCTTTTATGTTTTAGAGGACTGGTTTGATAAAGTGGGACTGTAAATGCTTAAAAGGGAAACTGGCAGATGTGAAGAGACGAATCTGTTGAGGCCAAAACGAAAAGACAAGTCTTGTGGAAGACAATGGTTCGTTTTTCTCTATTCTGATAACTGAATCAATCAAGAGGGCGCCAACCAGCGATATCGCATTTAATCCTCCATAAAAACTCACCTCTTTTCATGATTTTTTTTATCCGACAATTAGAAAATGGTTATAAATTATAATAATTAAAATGCAAAAAAAAAAAACTATCTATCTAATCTAATTATAATTAATATAGAGTAATGAAATATTGAATTTGAGATTTTCACGCAACATATTTAGAGCATTAATATACACACGGACATAGTTTTAAGCTTCAATCTTTCTTATCAAGAAAATCGTTATTGCTTAATTTTAAATTTTGATGTAATGGTTAAATAAATTAATATACAGATTAAAATGATAATTTTTATGTGATAGTATTTCATTTGGGCAGATAAAATAAGGATAAATTTTATGAATATTAAATTCAATTTAATATTTACAGCAACACAAATTATTTGTAGGAATCTTTTTTTATAGATTAAGAAAGTGAAAAATATTTAATTTAGTGTCATTAAATAATAAAATATAAATTATTTACATACTTATAAATGTAATGATTGTTAATACAATGATTGCAATGGAATGAATGCATTTTAATCCTACGTAATAAATAAAAATTGGTATAGGCTTTTTATTACTAATAATTTTGTGGTGCTGTTAATATTAAAGTGACTTTGATGCCCATGGTTTTTATATTTACTTCAAATTTTATCTCATAAAAATATTAAGAAATATAGACAACAAGATAAAAATGAATTTCAAAGAAAAAATAAATCAAGCTGTGCCTAGAAAAATTCATTGATGTTCAAATGAGATGAAAATTTAATCTCAGGCTTCACTTTAGTTATGGTTCTTCAGCATTCTCTCATGATTAAATGTTTTATAGAACTGTCAAAGCACACTGGAAGCTCAATAATTATAATAAACAAAAGGCATGATATATTAAGACAAACATAACACAGAAGCTTCAAATTTTTCTCCTGGAGCTCATGTACGTGATAAACATACTAAACAAAAAACCAGAAGTCCAAAACTAGTAATCCTAAAAGAGCTGAAGGAAAATCCAGAAAGTCTAAAGTAAATCTGACAATCATGGTCCTGCATGTACTACTATACAAAAATCACAACAGTGAAGTAGATAAACCTGAGCCAGATCTGAGGCAAACAATCCCTTCAGAGTTTTAATGTCAAATCCGGGGTGGACTTCTCTATGTCCACTGGTGGATTCACCTCCGTAAAACTCAAACCAGAACTCTCAGTCAGCAGAAAATTCTTATGATCATCACCTATCTCTGCGATCTGACGGAAACTACCAGGCCAAATAAGTCCTGGTTCATTCTCCTCCAAGAAAATTGGCTGGCCAAAATATCCTATCTCAAATCTAGTATTGTTTTTCATCTCTTGAAGCTTCACTGATGGTGAAAAGCCATAGTGCTGTGAAGAATGCGCTTTTATTCCCAAAGATCTGGAGGTATCATTTAGAGGGAGAGATGCTAGACTTGCATACCTCTCAGAGAAAAAACCCATCCTCATAGCATGCTTTGCCAATGATCTTTCTCTCTTGTGTGCATTTTGGTGGCCCCCAAGAGCCTGGGAGCTGAAGAACTTGCGTTGGCAGTAATTGCATGGGAAAACTCTGGCAATGGTCGCTTCTGTAGTCTGAGAGACAGGTTCATTGCTACTCTCGCTAGTGCTTGAGAATGAGAGTCGTACAGAATCTCTTGACCCTGCTAACTCATTATTATTTAAGTTGAGAGTCAGGTCAAGTGAAACGGGATTAGAATTTGCATCAAGTATCTCTGTTGAATTTCCTGGTTTGGAAGAGTTTGTCAGGGTTTGATCGCTACAAGGACCTGCGATGGTTTCCTGAGTGGATATATTAGAAGCAACCTGGCTGTTAACTTCAAATTCACTGTCTGCGGAGGCCTCCACTTCGAGATCAAAGTTTGCTTTCATGACTTAGCTGTGCTTAAAGTTGCAGCCTAGTTTTCAGCTATTAACCATCAAAGGGAGATCTGCTTCAGTGCTTGCAGCAAAGGAGTTATTCTGTCCTGCAATGAAATGCCTTCAATTCATATTTAATAAGCATAGCGGAAAAACAATTTGATCTCAGGTATAATTTTACAGTCTTCTAATCTGATAGGAGTGTAGACAGAACAGATGAATTCTATTGAAACCGCAAAAGGATGACCAGACATACACCAAGGGGCAAAAACAGGCAATTCATAGGTGCACCTTCTTTAGTTTCAGTTTTTCCTTAACATAGCTGGAGGAGGATTAATAATTACTAAATTCAAGAATCATGGTGGATCTACTAATAAAATGCCATGGACAAAGATTTGATTGAATTATATGCAACACGTAATTCTTCCATAAAGTCCCAAAGCTTATCTGGTTTTCTTGACTCATTTAAGAACCAATCAACAAAAATGTATTCAAACATGTTGAATCTATTCTACTATATAACCAAAGGTAGAAAATGAAACTAGAGCTGGATGGCGATTCAATGAGAGAATCCAACAGTACTCTCTGTGTGGAACTGCTCCTGAATCTTGACCCATATGCTTTGTATCTGGCCTCCTCTGGCACACACAAACATGTGAAAAGCTGGAGCAAAATAGCAAGGGGGAAGCCCTGAAAATCTATAACAATTCGTGCGTGCACATTTCAATGTGGCTAGAGTATGCCCAATGATTCAGGAAATCAAATTCCTGTCGTGAATTACTCTGATTAGTAACCTGCCCATTTCTGATCTTGAATCAGTCTAGAATCCTGCAAGGAGATTAATAGATGATTTCACAAGAAACCATAAGGCTTTAAAGATTGAATATCACAAGAGTGTGTTTCAATCCTTTACACTCGGGGGGAACTCAACGAGAGAGAAAGAGCGCCAACTTTTCCAGTTTGAACTCAAACTCCATGATCCATCAGCTTGTGAGACCAGGGCAAGATTGAGGGAGAATAGGAGAAAGAGTCATCATGAAAGCGCACAAAATAGAGGAGAAAACAGAAAATACTAATACGGTGAACTAATAGCTATATATTATAAAACAGAGAAATGCATGCAGGTGTTTGTTGGCAGTCCTTGAAAATTCTACTAATTCTATCAGGATTTGTCATTATATATGAACAAATTTACGACAGAGACTTACAAGGGATATTTAGAGATCAACGTCGCCTTAGAACGCTTGGCGAAGGAGTCAGAGTTGAGTGGTGTGGAAATAAGGCAAAACTGGCAAAATCCACAAACCATTTCGTTTATCCAATGATTCTCAATTTTATAGAAGGCAAGGAAAGCTAAAACAATTAAATATTTATCATGGGGATGACAGTGAAGAAAAGAGTCCTACTTACCCTCTCTCAAGTCTCAGGATCAAGTGGAACGAGCTTTCTCCTGAAATCACCTAAAAAGCGCTTTGGAATTGGAGACATCTACTTCTAGCTTTGCTTTTCTTCGTATGGCAGATTATTAGTAGAAGACAAAACAGGTTTGTGGCTTTCTATGTTTCTGAAACACTAATAGAGGGTAAGGTGAGAACAAAGAGATTTTCAAAAAAAAAAAAGAAATAACAAAAAAAAAATCACCGAAAAGGAATAATAATAATTGATGTTTAATTATGGGAAAGCTAAGGTAAGCAGTAAGTGTGGGAAAGGTTGGGGGGACAGTGGTGGGACGTCAAAGAAGCCAGAGAAAAAGAATAATGTTATCTTAGAATTTAACAAAAAATAAGGTTATGTGCCTCTTTCTGGTGGAAGCAACTGCTTCCCCCACCTACGAAGTTCAAACAAACAACAACTGGTTCAGAAGTATGATTGTACATAACATGAGAAAGAATAGAACCAAAAGCAAGCAAAAGGTGCTAGCCATTATTACCTCCAAAGATTCTCTAACCTCTCTCAACCCCACTTTACAAGTGTTTCAGATAACTCCACCATGCATGGGGTCTGCTTCGCCTTTCTTACTCCATATTTCAGATAGTTTTCCATCGGTCACGTCCAGCATAACCACTCCCTTCACCTTATTCAGATCATAACATAAATTATTCATATCCATAGAGTCCATGTTATGCTACCCCCTACAACATCATTTGTTTCTCCTATTTTTAACAACCCCACTCACTATAAATAACACAGCACATGTCCTTCCCAACAAACCCATGTTTTATATTCTCAATTATTGTCCTTTTCTTTTTAATCTTTATATCCCTTGCCTGGCAATTTTTTTCCTCCCTAGTCATATGTTTCATGTCTTTAAGTTTAAGATGCCATTTAGAGAGATGAGACAACAGTGGGAACAAGTCATCATTAAAACACTAAAGCATAGCACGGTTTGAGCAGCTAATCATAAAAAATATAGCGTCCATGCTCTAATAGTTATTTCCAGATTTGGCGAATCTTGTTTTCATTATTTCGCATGAAAAAAAAAAAAGTCTCCATCATAGCAACAAAATTTCACAAATTACCCTATTCAATCAAAGGGTTTCCCTGGGGAATATCCTCAAACACCTAGCCTGCCAAAATAAAATTTGAGCGTGCAAATCTTCTTATAGCAAAAAGGATAACAATCTGAGTCAGTTTACCAATCGAGTAATGAGAGTGAGGGTGGGGAAGCACCATCGTGGCTTCCGGTCTCCGTCTTGAAGTTTACTTTCTCTTCGTAGAAGATAATGGGATGGTTGGTCCATTATTCGAGGCACCAAGATAGAGGAGCATCATGGCGCTAAATCCAAACATATTTGATCTTTTATTCCAGCCTCGACAGTAACATCAATTGCTTGGTCATCACGAATCCCTGATGCTCAGGTATCCAACGCCCATCAAAACGTTCCTAATTCTTTACCCTTTCAAATTCAAGAAAGCAATTGTAATGGCTTATTATACTGTCTATAGTGAAAAATAAATTGGCCATATTCCAAGCAAATTAGATGAAAATCAAATATTCGCCCATGAAAGGGAGTTCAAATAAATTTCGTCCTTTCAATTGAGTGCAAGGAGCAATGTTCTTTTCACATTGTGACCTATACGGACTCCGCGAATTGCTCTCAGGGGTGTTCAGTCCGGACCCGTCCCGATTGGTCCGGTATCGTCCCGATCATATCGGGACGGGTCTTGTCCCGGCCCGAAACTAATCGGGACGGGACGAGAAAGAGGTTCGAGACGGGACGGGACACGGGATTACCATCGGGACATCCCGTCCCGTCCCGAATATTATATAGATTATTTTTTATTTTAAATATATTAATTATATTAATATAATTTATACTTATATTAATTATATCAATTATAATTTTAATACTTACAATTCTTATTTAAAACTAAAGTTTTTTTATATTGATAATTTTAATGGCATGGAGTAAACATGGCGATATCTTTCTTTATAATATATTAATTATATTAATATAATTTATTTTTATATATATCTATTTAATAACTTTTATTTACAACGTATTTTTTGCTTATTTTTAGAAGAGTAATTAGCTTAGTACATCTTCACTAAAGTAGAATAACAATGATTTGATGTTATGTTTGACTTGTCTGTTGTTACTAATCTTACAGTGTAAAGATCATTTGTGTTTATTATTATAATGTGTAGTTATGATTAATATAATTCAATAATTGATTTTAAATTATTGTTATTTATGTACTTGTGTTGTTTTGATTTTAAACTTAATAAATTATATGATTTAAAATTTTAATGAATGTTATTATCCAGATCTTTTTTCAATATTATTTCATTTATCGGGACGGCGGGACGTCCCGATCTTGTCCCGGTCCCGTCCCGACTCTTAACGGGACGGGACGACTTTCGGGACGGGACATGGAACGGGGGCGTCCCGGTCCCGTCCCGTCCCGTGAACATCCCTAATTGCTCTGACATACTATGCAATAAAACAGGAAAAATATTATTCTTTTCCATTGAAGGTGAATCAAAATCTGGATCGGACGAATAAATCTTCCGCGAAATGAATTCTTTTTTGACAAATCAAGGATAACTTACTTTAAGGTTCCACTCCTCGCAGAATCACCAGTAAAAAATTATCAACGACAATTATTGATCCGTTAGAAATATTATTTTAATATCCGCAATGAACTAAATTAGATAAATTCATAGATAGAATGATATACCCATCTGAAGCCAAGTGACAGAAGCTCCAGAGTTCAGATACTGAGAGAACTTCTGCAACATTGTATATTATATTAATATATACATGTGGTGTCAGGAATCAGGATTATGCTTCTCCAGCGTAATCCTTATTCCTTAAAGTACTCACATTGCATTCGCCTAAGAATAATACACACACACTTGACACTGCCGCTCAAAATCAAAAGAAAAACAGAAGAAAGAATATCAACTTTAAAGAGAGAAGCACTACTTTTTGTGATGGGGGTGACGAGGCGGGGCTGATAAAGAAGCATATACCGTATATGATATCTTGCAAAAAGTGCTTTTTGATTGTGTGTGTATAAAATTAAGCGAAAGTGAAACACTGATAATAATATTGTAATGGAGGAGTCAGAAGGTTAAGGCGCATGTTCAAATGGGATTAGTGTTTGAACACCGAAAAAGACACAGAACGCAAAATTGGTATAGAATGGGGACATTCCTACCAATTAGCCCGTGAAGGTCTATGCACGTACGTCCAAAGCAGATTAGTGATTTGCTAAAAGACATTCACAAGTAATGTTCCACAGACAACCCTAAGAAAAAGTGAAACCTGCACCTATCATCGCACCTACAATGCTAAACACATGAATGAAATGAGGAAATTAAAATAAGAGCACATTTATCCACCCAAGCACTACCGCTTAAATTTTAAGTACTCAAGAAAGCCTATTTCTTGATTGGAAGGAAAACATGTAGAAGTTAAAATTCATTGTGACTCAATTGAAGCAATCTTGCTTACTTGTAAGGAGCACTTGGATGATCAACCCCTAATAAAATATATCAAGATTATTAGGAAGCTCATAGTGTAAGACTGAACTGTCACAATTAGTCACATCTTTAGAGAAGCAACATCTGTGCTTAGCTCAACAAACTAATTAAGACTGTTTTGTTTTGCCAATGACTCTTTGGTCAAATGGCACCCATCCTTGTGATTCTACCTCTTGATGCAAGACGCTTAAGGATCAAACCCCATGCGATTAAAGGAGTGTGTGTGTGTGTGAGATTGTTATGCGGTGTGGGAAATGTGCGCGTGGGATCCCCTTCCCTCTGGAGAAGGGCTAAATAGGATATTAAAAAAAAAAAACAAACAAGTTAATAAATATAATTCAGACACTAATATCCTACAATAATTCACTTCCAAGGTGTTAAAACTTGTTATTAGCTTACTTGACCTTATTTTATTTTATTTCTTCATGATTTTAACATAGCATTGTTGCCTAAATTTTAAGTATTTAAAAAGACCTATCTCTTTATTAGAAAGAAAAACACACAAAAGTCAAAATACATTGTAACTCAGTTGAAGTAATCTTGCTAATTCACAATGAGTACTCAGACAATCACCCCCTAATTAAACACATTAGGACTATTAAGGAGCTCATCATACATAACAAGACCAACACAAACGGTCACATCTTTAAAGGGACAAACACTTGTGCCAATTGATTAGCTCACCAAGCTAATCAAGACAACATTAAAGCTACTATCTTACAATAATGATCCACCGCAACCCAAGGTATGGACACTAGTTATTAGCGGATGATCTGACATAGTTTTGCTTTGTTTCTGCACCATCAAGAGAAGAGAGGAAGAATGAAGTATGGTGTGGGGTTTAAGGAAGGGGCAGAGGGCACGTGAAGGAGTGTCATGGCAGAGAGAGACAGGTTGATGTTTCCGCCGCTGAGAGCAGTTGGGAGTTCCCGAGAAGCCCCTCCTCGTCCACCTTAGCTTCCACAAATCTTTGCCTCCCCACTGGTCCCCCACTACCCCCACTTGTCCCACATTTCTAATCTCACTTTTATTTATTACCTCCATTATTGCACATGATTCTCATCCTGCTTTCTCTACTTCTCTCGCTTATCCTACCTCTCTTTATATAAATAATCACTTCTCAGAAACCTCACCATGCCAAACCAAGGGCCTAAAATGCTGGTTTTGTCTTTGCTGTTTATCAACGTTTAACTTAAAGTGTTCTCAAGTTTATGCCCGAATAGAAGGCCCACTACATCAACTGAAGGCCCATCCAGAGAACATCAAGTTGACCTAGTTATCATTCGTTTGGATTATCACAGGGCTTGGGCCTTCTATTCAAAATCTGGATTGGACTAATAAATCTTCCCCAATTATAACAGGGGAACCCAAGTTGACACATACAAGAAAATTATAATGCACACGCATGCACAATATTCTCAAATTGGTTTATGATTTCCTCGAAAGTGAGGAGAGAAATGAACACATATCGATGAGTTATATTCTTGTGAGGCATGTGTATTAAAAAGTTAAACTTATAATCCACGATGAGTTCTCTACTATCCACTCACTTTTTGAAATTATCAATAAAATCAGATATCTCACCATGTGAAAATAAACAATCACGTTTTGACCACATAGGCTAACAAATGTGCAGACTGGTTAAATGTTTAGGGTATCCACACCCAGATGCGTTTAATGTTTCAGCATACGCTACTTCAATTCTAATTGCCATTGGACCCGGGGTTCGCTGGTCAGGCCACGTTGCCCTTGCCTGTCAAGTCACGAGTTCGAATCCACAGACGCTGCTTCTTCGTCTGCCTCACTCAATCTCATCAAATGAGGTATTCCCAAATACCTCTCCTCTTTTTAGTTACCAAATCTTCACCCTTGGAATTTTGGAAATAGAATCAGGTTCTGATCTGACGACCAACGGATCACATGGATTTTTTTAGTTTTGATCATAAAAGCACACGTTATAGTAATCTGAATGTTACGTCAAGAGATTAGGCCAGTTCAATGAGGTGAAATTTTCTGGCTCTATGATGATACCTGACAGACTTGGCTGAAAGAGCCAGGCAAATTTCTTTTACCAAGTCATTAAGTCAGTCAAGATTAATTAACTGTAACCTAACTTACCCAACTTACAAGTGGCTATTGGTACATCTGCATGCATGTTATCTCACTTATATATTAAAATTGGTTGAATGAGCTTTTCAATTAATGGTAACCATAATCCCATCAGCTCCTATGCTTTTTATCTGATCGTTCCAATATGTATACGCTTTTAATCTGTATGTGTTACCTGGCAATTATTTTTTAATTTGCTATTATAGAGAATTATCATATATACTTGAGTTTTATCCTTGAGTTTTATCCTTCCACAAAGTTAAAGAAAATCCTCATTCCATTCATTCTGATTCCTAACATGCTTGTGTTTACTTTTTATCAAAACTTTGCCTTATGATGGAGCTGATAACTGGAAGGAATAAAGATCTTGACGAGAAGACTCACCCAGAGGACACTCCAAGATCCTTGTAACAACATGCATGCACGGATAATTGCATTATTCATTCTCTTGCTTCTTCTTTCGGCTGAGTTTTTATGGCGTGATATCCTCTTGTTATATGTATTAGTTATGCAGAAAAACAGATCATAAGGGAATCTCAGCACAGCAGAGAATCAATTTTCCTATAACCGTCTCAGATTTAAGTCTTCCCACTTGTACTGGTTGTTAGAGATGAAATTCAAATTAGCCGACTCAAAAATCAAAAAACATGAACAAGCGCGGAAAACATGCCGATAGGTAGATATGCCAAAAATATATCTCATTATTTTAAAAATACATGGAATATATATAACGCTACCGTGAGATGTAAGTAAGGTGGCTAGGTATGATTTGAAAGGTCCACAAAATATAATGTGGAGGGTATGAAGATAGAGTTTTGGAGGAAGCATGAAATTATATAGAGAGTGAGCAAAATAGACCGTG